ACACACATATATATATATATATATATATATATATATATAATTACCTTTATTTCTATGACAATAAATTCTTTCAAAAATTTGAGTAAATTTATTTTACCTTCTTATAACTTTCTAAAAGAAACTTCTTAAATAAAAATAATACTTAGGTTGTATCCATATATACTTAGGTTGTGTCCGAATGATACCCAAATCCTAGACAATATATTTTCATGTATACAAATGACAACGTAAAGCTCATTTTAGTATCATATATGTGAATTTGAACAATACTAACATTAATGTTTATAGCATTAGAAGACTTTATTTCATACTAGATTAATGGGATTTAATTAATCCAAAGACATCTAGAATTGGTTGTGGATGGATCTAGCCGCATGGGCCATTGATAGATAGAACAATGGTTTTTATATTTAACCAAATTGATATTGTATTTGTATGGGAACAGGCTGCCGTGCTTCGTTGGTGCACGAATCCATGTGTAATGGAGTTGGGTTCTTCATACAAGTGGAGTTCTGCGATGGGGGCATGGACCACCATTTTGCGGGATGCGATCCTACAATGAATGGAGCTCGATTCTAGCTAAATAGGATTGTGGTATTATTTAGATGGGGGCGAGACTCAACATTAAATGGGATCTCGTTCTTTTTGTCGACGGGAGCGCGATCCTAGTAGATATGGGAATGTGATCCCATGTTACATGTAACACGTTATTGTCAAATAGAGATCTCGATCCCAATGTATCAAGATCTCGCTCCGTATTCAAACGGGATCTCACTCTTTAATCAAACGGGATCTCGTTCCATAAATACATGGAATGTGTTCTCGTTAAATGGGAATCTCGATCCTAATGTATCGGGATCTCGATCTGTAACTTCTACCCTCACCGGAACTTGCTTCTCGAGCTCCGGAGCTTCAAGCAGTCAACGATCCGACACTCACTGTTCCATAAACCGGAGCCACTCCTGTTCCCGCTCCCGGTAACTATTGTTCCAACACAATATATAAAGGATAGTAACCATTTCCTTTCGTTCCCAGGACCCGTTGTTTCCTCACAAGACTAGAACATTCTCTTGAACTCCCGAAATCTAAGATAATCCCAATGAGGCAAAATGATTAAGATACCCTTTTCACTTCTGAATTATTTTCCCAACACAATTTGCATGTACCATCTAATAATATTGAGGAGTGAGCAAATATAAACGGAAATGCTTTTTATATGCTACTAGCCATAGAGAATTTATATATGCCTCTCTCTCCCAGCCGTCTATTCTAAATGGATGGTGGGGAAAGCTTCAGTCATAATATCACGAGTCAGCTTGTCACCGTTTGATCAGATCCGACATCTCAAAGTATTTTATTTTAATTTTTAAAAATTATATAAATGTGAAATTTGGTGTGTCACCATTTCAATGGAGCATATCTATGAAAAATAGTGAAACCATGTTTTCAAAAAATAAAATAACCAAATTACCTATGAAGCCTTCAAGAGTATTTTGTCATCCAATTTTTTAAAAATATTTTGTTAGTATTTTTCGAAGGTGCTGCTTTATGAGAGTATTTAGGCATGACATTTGATTGGTAACTACATGATTTAAAAAAGAAAATTGGTATTTACATGATTTTTAAAAAAAACTAAAAATAAGAGAGTATTTAGGTACGACATTATTATGATTGAAGTCACCTCATTGATCCATTCAGATCGAAAAGTTGAGAGGAATGGCATATATACGCTTTCCTAGTGGCATATAAAAAGCTTTCCAAGTAACAATATCTCGTGTTAGTTATGGCTTGATACAACGTAAAAAAGATTTAAAAGAAAAGAATCAAAACAAAGGGTATAAAAACAGCGTAGCCAATTGTGGCCAAATGTCAAAGTTAACAAAATATAACGTCATACCGAAGGAAAAAGGACGTGGAGCTCTCTCTTCATAACGAAGCTCATCCCGCTAGGCCCAAAACAAAGAACCTCCTCGTTGCAAGGATTGCCTTCATATCAATTCTAACTTTAACATTGCCCTTTCTCCTTGGCTTATATTTCCCCACACGTGTGTTTCTCTCTATTACTCATCTTGAAATTAAAGAAAAGGCCTGCCACTAGCTGGGGTTGGGACGGCCCGAGCCTGACATGAAAAATCCTAGAATTTTCATGATTGACGAAAAATGATTTTGGGCCTAATCCAAACTGGCCCAAAAAGCCGAAGTTGAGTTTCTGCCTAAAAATTTGAAAAATCGGGTTGGATTGGCGAATCAGCTACATCACAAGGTTTCTGCCTAAAAAGTTTCAAAAAATCACTCATTTTTTCTTTTTTAAAATCTAGCTCTTTAAGTTAAAAAAATAATAAAGTGGTATAGCATTATAGTTTTTAATTATTTAAAAAAAACATGTAAATATCGATAACGTACCACATCTAAGCGGGTGTTGTCCGTTACAATCCTTTTACAGTCAACAGGAGGTTCAAAATACGACTAGTTGTTGTGAAATGAAATTTTCTAACCCAAATTTTTCTATAAGGTTAAACATAAGGGTCAAAGGGTTTTTCTTCTCTTCCCACATTTTAATATGAGAGGCAAAAGAAAACGAACTTTAAGATGGACACCATCATGCATATTGCCAGTTGCTTAAAGAATGGAGGTAAATTAAAGAGAGAGAGAAGAGAGAGAGAGAGTTTATGACATTAAAAGGGACGCTTCGCGATTTTTTGTTCACAAAAAAGATCTCGATTTGGGAAGGGCTTAAGGTCGCTGTGGTAGCACCCCACACCCTAGTTACCACGTTGTGGTTTTCATTTTTATCACTAACACCACTTTATTAATACCTTTAAAAGCTAATTCTTAATTTATCGAAAAAAATGGGTAGAGACTTGTCTTCTTCACTGAATTACCCAAAAATAAAAATAAAAAAAAACACAGATCTTGATTTGCAAGCCCTTATAAAAGGGCATGGAGGCCCAAAAGGATGCAGGAGATGGTTACCCAAAAGTATGTCGATGTTCCTTATTTTGAAGGCATCAAAGGGTTTAATGCGGTCCTAGGATTCTAACATGGGACCACCAGAACACCACCAAAACAAGGCATTGAAGGGTTCAATGAGGTCTCGGACCGCCCCAAACCATAGGGCACAACCCTATTTATTGCAAAAACTAAAAAATGAAATTAAAAAGCAGTCTAAGTATCCTCAAATTGAGAGAAAATTTCATAATAAGAAAAAAAATAACCTTTTGACCGATCCTTCTAGTAATTTTGCCCAAAAACAGCCCATTTTGTATTTTATATAATTATTTCGTGTCTATATGTAAATTGCTCCAAAAATTAAGGTATACTAAAAACATGTGTGGGAAATAGGGTGCTGAACCGGTTTCTGTAGAATTGATTGGTTCTGTCAGTTCTATGACACAATTAGTTGGTTCTATCTAGAACCGCTGGGTTTTAGGAGGGAACAACTGGATCCGCGATGTACTGTAGGAACCAGATCGTCTACCACAATTCCCAATCCAAATCTGCCAATTTCCATCCGGATTGAAAATCTTTCAAGCATTGATAAAATAACAACACGGCCAAGTGGCAAATTGTAAACATTATATTAACGTCAACATCACAAAAGCATAACGTGCTATACCTAATGGCAGCTAAGACTTTGCAGATAACTAACCCGTAAAGCAAGAAAAGTCTTCTAATTAGGTTACTATACAAAGAGCATGCCCTTGTGAATAGGCCCACTAAATGAGCCCATAGCTTAATTAGGAGGAAGTTATTGGTTTAACCAAGATTTTGGCGCTAATCCATCCTAAGATGAGAGGAAACACATTAGCTATAGGGCTAGCCTCCTTGTTGCTCTTGGCCACCTTAGAGGCTCAGGGCTTTGAGGATGGTGAGGATTGGAAAGGGCCCCTACGCTTAGGCAAGAAGAAAGTGGACTCACTTCTACTTCCACGACATGCTCGATGCGAAGAACCCGACCCCTCTGATCGTGGCCGAGGCCAATATCACCCAGTCCTCACCCACCCTCTTTGGCATGGTCAGGGTTATGGACCAACCACTCACTGAGGGCCCCAACCTTACATCGAAGATGATCGGAAAGGCCCAAGGCATCTTTGCCTCTGTGTCCAAACTGAGCCAACTATCTTTATGGAGATGAACTTCCTCTTCTCAGAGGGCAAGTTCAATGGGAGTGAGCTCACAGTCGTCGGTAGGAACCCGATTTTGAATAAGGTGAGAGAGATGTCCGTGGTGGGTGGGAATGGGGTATTTCGATTGGCTCGCGGTTATGCTCGCCTCCGAACATACTCCTTCAACGCCACCAATTTGAATGCTATCATGGAGTACCATGTCACTGTTATTCACTACTGACTCGACTCGGCCTGATCTTTAAAATTTCTGGTGGTGCAGTTGTCCTTGTGTGCTGTAGAGTGAACCAGGTTTATTGTTCTTGGAAACGGAATAAAGTTTACTATGGATTTTTTAGATAATTAGGGGCTATTGTTTTGTTTTCTTTTCTTTTCTTCTTCTTTTTTTTTTTTTATCATAAAATCAGTTGGAAAGAAGGCCCTGTCTCCTTTTTTTAATAAAAATAAAAGAAGTAACATATTTATCTTCCAGCTCTATAGTAGGGTAGTTGAAGGATAAATAAAAATAAAGTCTTGGTGGCAGGGCTATTGTTGACCTGCATTGGTTGTTGTTTCGTAGTAATAATTTTAAATAAAGAATTTCACTCTCGATGTAAGACTTTTTATCTCTATCGTTGGGATGTCACTTTCCTTTTTTAGGGAAGATTTTATTACTGGACCTTAGAATTCCGGTTGGGACAAGGGCTGCTTTTCTGTTTCAATCCTTTGATCTCTCTTCCAATTAATGCTTCCAACTACCCAATTTTTAACGATAATATACTTGTGGAAATGTGATATTTTATTATTTTTTAATATTTAAACTTCTATATTCCTTAAATAAAAAACTTTATATAAGGGTGAGGTTCTAAACAATCAAATATCAAAAATTCATTAGAAAAAGTTGTTACGATACTAAAAAGAACCCTCAATTCGATTGTCTCGACCTTGAGATGTATGGACATGAAAAAAAATAGATTTTAAGTATTGGAAATAGTACATCTAAACCATCAATTTTTCAAGATTTTCAAGTGTTCATAGATTTGCTCAATATACTCTATATTTTAACTTTAAATTCTATAATTAGAGGTGAAAATAAATTTCAGGCCATCATAAAGAATTCTGATACCAAAACAACATATTTCAAGTCTATTTGAAAGTACGTCCTGTTGAGGATTGATGTCTTCTATTATGAGGAAATAGATCTGCCAAGGTGGAGTCATAGGGACGACTCCGGAGGGTCGTTAAAAAGCCCAAAGGCCTTAAAATCCGTACATAGGGTATTTTGATAATTTGTACTATCTTTCTAGGACTATATATATTGTTGTTATGGAGGTTCTTTTAGGGTTAAGAAACAAATGAGATTTCGTTGTAATACAGAAACAGAGAGAGGTGTGAGGAAAAGAGCCATCGTAACCCTATTCTCCATTGCCAGTAAAGAAGATCTCATCTCTCCATGGACGTAGGCACGTTGCCGAACCACATATATCTTTACGTTGTGGTTGGTTGTCTCTTTTTTTGTGTTTGTTTCTTCTTTTTTATTTCGTGGATTACTTTTCATTTGTACAAATTCGTATCAGAGCCAACCAGGTTATTCCGCTTTCTGGGGTTTGCTACTACGTTGACAGGAAAGGGATCAAGCGTCAAGCATGACATTGAGAAGTTTAATGGAAAGAACAACTTCACTCTTTGGCGACGAAGGATGAATCTTCTTCTGATACAGCAAGGTCTAACTAAGGCTTTGCTAGGGAAATCGAAGAAACTAGCAAAGATAGACGATGAAGAGTGACAAGAGATTGAGGAAAAGGCGGTAAGTGCAATTCGTCTGAATCTGTTAGATGATGCATTGTATTATGTGGTGGACCTCGAAACTACTCCGGAGGTCTGAATAAAAACTCAAGAGTATTTACGCGACGAAATCTCTGACGAACAAGTTGCTCTTGAAGAAGCGGTTGTATTCTCTTCAGATCGTAGAAGGCACAGATCTGCTTGAACATCTCAACGAGTTCAACCAGATCATAAGCCAATTAGCAAGCCATGAGGTTGAAATCGAGGATGAAGACAAGGCCCTACTCTTGTTGGTTTCGCTTCTAGGATCATACGATCACATGGTTATGACTCTACTGTACGGGAAGGAGACTCTTGAGATGGGTGAAGTCACTGCTACTCTTTTGTTAAACACGACAAGGAAGAAGACTAGCAACATTAAGTTTCAAGGAGAATGTTTCTTTGAAAAACACAAAAAGAGTCATCAAAGGGACAGATTAAATCAAAAGAGGTCTGGAAGCAGAAGTCGGTCAAAATCCAAGGAGAAGGGCAAGTTTACTTATTGTTACTGCAAAAAAGAAGGTCATATAAAGAGAGACTGCACAAAAAGAAAGGAGGATATAAAGAGGAAAGAAACAGGAAAAGCATCTGATGAAGCTAACGTAGCTGATAGCTCTGACAGAGATGATGAAGATCTTCTCTCCATATCTTCAGGTAAGAATCAATTTACTGAGTCATAGATTTTTTATTCTGAATGTTCTTTTCATATGTGTCCAAATAGAAATTGGTTCTAAACGTACAAATCATATAGTGGTGGGTCTGTTTTTAATGGAGAATGATGCGGTATACAATACCATTGAAATAAGAACTATCAAAATCAAGATGTTTGATGGGATAGTACGAATTTTATCTGTATATGGGGTATTTTGGTAATTTGTATCATCTGCCTGAGACTATATATATTGTTGCAATAGATATTCTTTTAGGGTTAAGGAACAAAGGAGATTTCTTTGTAATACGGAAACATAGAGAGCTGTGAGGAAGAGAGCCATTGTAACATTATTATCCATTGCTAGTAAAGAAGTTATCATCTTCTCGTGGATGTAGGCATGTAGCCGAACTACGTATATCTTTACGTTTTGATTGGTTGTCTATTTCTTTTGTGTTTGTTTCCTCTTTCTTGTTTCGTGGGTTGCTTTTCGTTTCTACACGTCCCCTACTTTGATTGTTGAGGGCTTTGGCCATATGCAAACCACACCCTCATTTAAATTATGTTTAAAATTGTTGGTAAACTTTATATGGGGCTCCGCGCATGTATCAAAAAGAATGTGACTAGTTGAATGTTGAGAGCGCAAGAGAAATAGTGCTACTCCTTTTAGGACTAAATAGAAATTTTTTATATTTAAATATCAGTCTTTTTACAAATGACAAATGGGTTCAACTTTCCCTATGCAAATTTTTTTTTCACTACGACCTAGGCTCTTTTCAAAAAGAATTGATGGACCATAAAACAGACGTAAAGCCACTGAATGAGAAAGCATGGAAGTGTTTTCATCGTTGTTCTCGCAAAAAGACTTGGTTTTGGTTGTTGGAGAATGAGGTCGGTTCATTCACACAAGGTTCACTTTCAATTTCTCAGTATTTTATGAATGTAAAAAACATGTGTAATTAGATGAGCCAAGGATAGCTGATAGTTGTATACAGAGGATGTCACCCCTGACCTAAGACCAGCATTTAACGGATTTTTAACCACAATTTAAAATTGACACACAAAATCTATATTGGTCAAGTTAGAGAACTTTTTGGTGAATCAAGCAGCCCTTACCAGACAAATGATAGGGTGTTTACATGCGGAAAATCGAGAGGCATGAAAGGATTGATCTTTTCCTGTTTTCTTTTTTTTTGACAGAAATGAAAGGTTAGACCTTCTTTCACCTTTACTCATACGTTATGTGAATTGAATTTGAATATCGGTAATGAACAAGGTTCCGTCAAATTAGGGACTATAAAAGGTAGGCCTCACAACTTACTCCAATTGTCTGTCAACCGCACCAACTAAAACTATCCAAAAACTAAAAGGAAAGTTTTGGAAGAACTTGGAAAATAAGGAGAAAGATTTTCGAATGATATAGATAAAATAGATAATTAAGATAATAAATAAAACAAAGAGCCTTTTTTTTTGGGGTAATTTAGTGGAGAAAACAGGCTCCTATCTGTTTTTTCCAATAGATTAGAGAGTTACATTTTAAAAATATTAATTAGGGGTGTTAGCAATTTTTCAATAGATTAAAAAGTTGCATTTTGAAAATATTAATTAAGAGTGTCAGAATACCACGATGTAGTCACTTGGTGTGGAGATGCTATCGCCACTACCCAACCCCTTTCCTAAATAAAACAAAGAGAAGGAGCAATAAAGATTCCTAATGCCCATGAGTTGAGAGAAGGAGCAATAAAGATTCCTAATGCGCATCAGTTGACCCAGCCCCTTTCCTAAATAAAACTAAGAGAAGGAGCAATAAAGATTCCTAATGCGCATGAGTTTCGGAATTCTACTGTGCTATTCCTTTTTTATTTATTTATTTTGTTATTGTGGTCCTTTCATGGTGGTCTACTTTCTAGAAACTCACATCGTCATCAACATGACTAGTAACTTCTATTTTTTATCCCTTTTTCTTCGACTGTTGTTTGCTCAAGTTAGCCTTCTTTAAAGCACCGTACTTCAAGATGAAGGAACTAGATTTTGAGAGTGTGTAGGATAAGCTTTCAAAGCCATTTATTCACTCTTATTCTTTCATGTCCAGTTAAAATTTGTCTCTTTGATAGGTTAGAACCTGTCAAATATTAATGGAGTTACTCAAGTCAAGTTTTGCTTTGAGCTTACTCCGGTCAAAGTACTATTAAGTGGTCCGCAATTAGAGAAGCGGACCAGTCTGGTCTAGCCTTGTGGTTGTGATAGCGGATTTATGTCATTAGAATTGCATCAATTCGTCTAAATGGAATTTTGTTGTTTTAATATATATATATATATATAGATATATTATTTTATTTTATATATATATTATTTTATTTTTAAACAAACCCTCGCAGGATGAATAAGCATAAATATGAAAACATGTATGGCCTATTAAGATGATAGAAAATTTTATCAGGAGTAGACTATCTTATCTGAAATTACGTTAGTTGTTTGATATATATCTTGTATTATATATACATAATTAAATTATTCAACCTTTTTCAAGATTTTCAACTATTTTTTGTTATTTCTTTTAAAAACATGTGATTTCCCACAAATTATTTTAAATAAAAGAAAAATAGAAATAAACTTGGGGAACAACACAAATAACAGATAATTCATTATCAAAATTTAATTTATTAAATAATGAACTCTCGGTGATAAGCCTATACTGTGTGGGGGAGGGTTTGTACATCTTAAGCCCAAAAAAAGGCTTTAAGCCCAAATAAAGGCATTGTTGAGGTCCACACCGCCCAGACAAAATTTGAAATATCAAACCCCACATTTGATTTTCAGTAGCCACAATAAAACATATTATTCATAATATTGGCATAATTATAATCATTAAATAATTTTTTGGACTAGTTGGATTACATGCATTGCACATAGGACAAAATGATCATTCAAGCAAATGCTTATATAAATATGTAACATATGAATATTTTATTATCGTGATCTAGGTAGCTGATCAAGATAAAAATATTAATTATTATTTTTTAAATAATTAATTAGTTATAATACTATAATATCATATAAGTAAAAAAATTATATAAGGTTGCAACCTTAAAATGTAGAATTACATATGCACATAAAAATCTATCGGAGAATGTTGTAATGCATCTTGCAACACATTATCTAAATCGTCTATTTTCAAGATTTCCATATGTTTATAGATCTACTTGATTTTAATCATTTTTAGAATTTAAAATTTTATAATTAGATATGAAAATAGATTTTCAATCAATCCTATGAATTTTTTACATCAAAATTACATGTTATGATAAAATTTGGCGATGCGGCTTAATTGGATTGTCTAAGGTGGAACCTTACATAAACCACACCCATTATATAATCGTAATATAAAAATATAACATAATATAGAACAATATTCTAATATATTATTATTATGATATAATATAACATAATATTTTTAATATGTTGTTATAATATTCTATATAAAAATATAATATAATATAGAACAATATTCTAATATATTATTATTATGATATAATATAACATAATAAATATTGTATTATTATTATGAATATTATATTCATCATCATGGTCAAAATATTTTTCCAACTAATTAGAGTCGATTACATGAATCTTGGAACACTCTATTAAAAGTTATAACATCAATGAAGTTATAAGTTGTTATATCTTTTGTCGCTACTTCCAACCATTTTCTTTTGGGCTTACCCCTTTCTTTTTTTGAACCTTTCACTTGAACTAACTGCATGTCCTAACATGTGGTGTATTGAATCTGTACCACCTATGGCCAACCCATCTAAGTCTATTCTATCTCATCTTATCATTTATTGGTGCAACATCAAATTTTTTCTAAATGTATTCATTTCGAATATTTCCAATTCTTATCTTGCCACTCATCAATCTTCATCTCTACTACACTCACTTTAGGGGTATATTGTTTTTTGACGGCTCAACATTCCACCCCAAAAAGCAAAGCTGGTTTCATAGTTGTCCTATAAAATTTGGCTTTCAACTTCACTGGTATGCAGCAATCATATACCCCTCCACTGCACCCATCCGGCTCTAATTCTATATGCGACATCTTCCCCAATTTCTCCATTTTTCTAGATTGTTGACTCAAGCTATCGAAAGTGCGCACTTTTTTATATTTTCTAGTCATCAATCTTAACGACTTCCTCGTCTTTAATTTTATTATTACTAAACTTGCATTCTATATATTTTCATATAATAATAATATAATATTATTATATATTATATTATAATTTGTTATAATAATATTATAAATATTATATTATATATTATTCTTTAATTTTTAATAATTAAATATTGAACAAAATAAAAATAGAGGGGCATATATGATCATTATTTAATTTAGAGAGATTTTTGGTATAGTGCATATCCGCATTACTGTTCCGTTGATTCATGTTAGTTTTATATTGTCCCTATCATCACTCTTGATCGACCCAAAGCCCTCAATGCCATGAACCTTGGTATCTCTCTCTGTTGATGATCTATCCCGCTCTCACTTCTCTATTAACAATCATGAATTGCATACAATTCTCTCTCTCTCTCCCCCCACTTTGAAAAACCCTTTGATTAATCATCTTGACATTAAGATATATCACCATGAAAAATAAAAAGATTTTAAGTCTCATAAATAATGCATTTTACACCATATTTTCTACACCGTCTATTTTCACGATATTTATATGTTTATAGATCTACTTGATTTTTATCATTTTTTAAATTGAAAATTTTATAATTAGATATAAAATTAGATTTTGAGATAATCCTAAGAACATTTTACATCAAAATTATATGCCATGATAAAATTTGAAGGTACACCTTACCTTTAAAGCTATGGATGCATCCGTATGCCAATTGCACCCTTAAAAAAAAAAGGAAAAAACAATGTTGAGATAAAGGTGTACATAAACATCTCTGTCTCTCTTGTGCCTCTCTAATTAAGAAATGGAAAAAGCTGATGCAGGCCCATTAGCTCACAGCTATATATGAGCCCAACAACTCAAATTCAATCTGGGATGATCTAACGCCACGACCTTGCTTCGTATTTTAATTTTTTTTTCTACAAATAAAAATAGGTGAATCTAATAAAAATATCAAAAAAATAATTTGCAAGAAATACGTTGATCAAAATACCTCTGAAAATTTACAGGGGTATTTCGATCAATTTATTTATTGCGGATTATTTTTTTAAATATTCTTATTAGGTG